CTCTGACTATTTGTCCATCGAAGATTTCAGTCAAAGAATGTGCTGGTGAATTTGTTTTTGCAAGAAGTATATATTATTCTCCAATCTAGAGGGGGCGGGGGGGATGATACCATTATGCAGCTATGGGAACAAGAACACGAAGAAGAAGAAGAAGAAGAACAAGAACAATAGACAAAAATACGGAGAAGAGAACTAGAAGAGCCGAAATTAGACGCCCTCGAGATCGAAGATCTATCAGCAGTTGTAATTTTTGGCGATCTTGTGTCAGAAGGCGCTTTCTGCTGTCATTATCTATCCTGGACGAAAATCACCTTGACACAGTCCTTTGGATATTTTTTTTTTCATTGTTATTATTATCATTATTGAGCCTATTATCGTGGAAAGAGGTTGCTGTACCTTTTTGTTTCTTTTATTTCAGCTCACCTTTGTCCATCGCATACCCGTACCACGATTTTTGAAGTTGCAGATAAGAGCGTTATAATCTGATAAATTTTAATAGCATATATGTTTACTATAACATCATTATCGATATATTGCTTAGCCTAATACAATCCAAACTATGTGGCTTGGACATAGTATCAATGTGGAGCAGCGAAATGCAACTAGAGAGCTATGAGGTATGGTATTAGTTTTAAAATGCCGTAACTAATTTTCCAAAGAAAAATAGTTATGTTAAAATGGATAATATATAGGCCTATACTTTATATGCCTTTAAGTTGGCCTAAAGCCTTTTAAACCATTCATTGGACATGTGAAATTGAAAATATGAAAGTAGTTTAAGAGGAAGCTATATGTTGTTGTTGTTGTTGTTACATTGCTGTTGTTTTTGTTGCTGTTTTTGTTGTTGTTGTTTTTGTTTTTGGCTTTTTTGCTTGTTTGTCTGTTAGTTAGTTTGTTTGTTGGGTTGGTTGGTTGGTTGGTTGGTTGGTTGTTAGTTGCGGTTGGTTGGTTGGTTGGTTGATTGGTTGGTTGGTTGATTGGTTTGTTGGTTTTGTTTTGTTTTAGGCTTTTGTAGTTGATGTTGGGTAGGTTGTTGTTTTTTTTTGGGGGGGGTGGTGGGGTGGAGTTTAATATAGTGTTGCCGTTGTTGTTCTCGATTTCTCTTTGGGTTTTTGTTTTGTTTTGTTTTTTTGTTTTGTTTGTTGTTGTTATTGTTGTTGTTGTTGTTGTTGTTGTTGTTGTTGTTGTTGTTGTTGTTGTTGTTATTATTGTTGTAGGATGAAGATTAATGTGTGTTTTTTGTGTTCTTTGTTGTTGTTGTTTGTTGTTTGTTTGATTGTTGTTGGGGTTGTTTTTTTAGGGGGGGGTGCCTTTTGTGGGGGAGGGGGGTATGTTATCCTGAAATATGTTATTTTCTAGCATAGGGCACTTATAAGCAGCGTGTTGACAATAAGCAGATATTTATACTGAAGTATCTTCGCAAGTGCGCATACCGTAAATCGTTTCTATAAAATGTAACGCCATCGGGTGAAGTAGGCCTACAGGGCTTAATATAAAAGATACGGTAATGACACTGTTTTAAACTGACGTATCGTTCAACGAGTCAACAACAATTTAGAAGCTTTCAAACAAAATGTCGACGCTGAGTTATATCAACAAAATGGATTATACCACAAATTATGATAAGCGTTGCAAGGAGCTAAGATTGAAGATATCAACACTCTCATAAAAAGTAGAAGATGGATGCATTAATTAGAATTTGTATCAGGAATGTCAAGGACAAGATATCTATCAGCCACGGTGCTCATGGGGACATGGGAAAAGAGGAAGAGACAGACCAATAATTATAGTTACAGATGTACAGTCAGGGATGAGCAAGGGCCTTAGAGAACTACAAAACGGTGTAATCACCCATGACCTGGGTGTGTCAAGGCTATAATTGGTCGCTTTTATGCACAAGGGGGCTATCCCGAAAAATATTGTTTTGAGAAAATCGAAGGTAAAGTTTTTGCCCGTTATAATATTCAGTTTCTTTAAAAGACAAGGAGGATTTTCTGTGTAACCAACACATACACCAATGAAACCAACTTTCTCCTATAGGTAGGGCAATGCCCACTTTTGGTGTAGGTCAAGATATCAGGAAACCCCGAAATCTGGGTTAGCCCGCTAGTCCTTAAAAGCGACCAATTATTGGCCGGTGACAGACAAGCGTGGCCTCGACTGCTTTCTGCTTTGAGAACTACCGTGAGAAATGTTAATGAGTAGACTACGTTATCTTGGTGCGTCAAACATAATGATTGCCTTCGATTCGCAGAAAGATGTGTGTGTGTGTGTGTGTGTGTGTGTGTGTGAGAGAGAGAGAGAGAGAGAGTGTGTGTGGGTGTGAGTGTGTGCGTACGTGCGTGCGTGTGTGTGTGTGTGTGTGTGT